TCATAATGTTGCCCTGACTGTGGGTATGAAACAGATCAACAGCAATATTCTTGAACAGTCATTATACCCAGAACCATAGCTAGAATGAAATTTTATTTTAAAAGAGGGAAAATAACTACACATGAGAAAAGGACAGAACAGTAAGTAGGAAATAAGTTTTCAAAAAGCACATTTATACACTTTTTCTGATCTTTCTAGGTTTGAGAGGTTTATAGATAAAATAAACACAGCAATAAAAAGGAATTTTTACTTATCACAATCCCAAAAGTATAACATTTGTGCACAAAAGTGCATTTTGAAAATTACATTTCATCATTCCCTGTAGTATACAAGAGTTTACAAAAGTAATTAGAAACAGAATTGGATGGCATAAAATAAACATAATTGATAAAGTCCATAGAGCTAAGGAAGAAAATATGTATACATTAAAGTCTGGTTTTAGACAGACAAAGGAAAAGAAGATTCTGAAGACAAAATAGTGATTATAGGAAATTTCCAGTGATTTAAGAACAAGTCATGGAGCTGTCATGGAACAGCACAAAATCATAAATCTGAGCTAGAGTAAAGAATCCATGCAATGCACATAATGAAATTCTAAGAGATTCAAAAATAGTCAGAGATTAACTGCTTTGGACCAAATAGGCTTCTCTTGTTGGATTCTTGTTGGATCTTGTTGGATTCTCTTATCAAATCCAACATTAATTATACCAGTAAATGTTAACACATTGTTTCACCTATCTATTTTTTTCATCTTTAATAAAAAAATAAATAAATAAAATTTCCCAGGTGGCTAAGTAGTAAAGAATCTGCCTGCCAAGCAGGAGACACAGGTTCGATCCCTGGGCTGGGAAGATCCCCTGGAGAAGGAGGACTTGACAACTCACTCCAGTGTTCCTGCCTGGGAAATCCCATGGACAGAGGAGCTTGGTGGGCTACAGTCCGTGGGGCTGCAAAGCATCAGACACAACATTGCAATTAACAACAACAAATAAGAAAATAACATTATATGCTTCCTTAAATTGTGCAGATAAAAATGACTTCAAGCAGAAAACTGAGTCAGCTAAAAATTAACAATTACCCGGATTTTGTTTCAACTTTCAGAGATTCCACAAGAGCATAAACTATTCTGGGGACAGTGGTTCCTAACAGAGGAGCCCACGAGCACTGCTACTGTTATTCACTAACCAGGATGGCAGGGAGACCAAACGCCCATCCGAACCTCACTTCACTGCAAAATGTGTCATCACAACCAACAGGCAGTTCTCTGAATACTGAGAGATAGTCCCTCACCAACTCCCTATTCTGGGATTAAACTATACTTAATTATTTCTATAGTGACAAAAGGGAGAGCTGGTGGGATCAGCTATGAGATGCTTGAAAGTGAAAGTCACTCAGTCTTTGTCTCCCCGGGGACTATACAGTTCATGGAATTCTCCAGGCCAGAATATTGGAGTAGGTAGCCAGTTCCCTCCTCCAGGGGATCTTCCCAACCCAGGGATCGAACCCATGTCTCCCACATTGCAGGTGGATTTTTCATTAGCTGAACCACCAGGAAGCCCAAGAATACTGGAGTGCGTAGCCTATACCTTCTCCAGTGGATCTTTCCAACCCAGGAATTGAACTGGAGTCTCCTGTGAATTGCAGGTGGATTCTTTACCAGCTGAGCTATCAACAAAGTTTGAGCAGCACTTATTTCAGAAGCTCTCACTGATAATGAATCCTTTTATTCCATTCCCATCCTCTAGAAGAAAGAGGAAAAGGGAGAGCTCAGTTGGAGAGACCAAGAGGTCAATCTCTGTATAGAATTTGCAATTTCTGGGGAAGACTTCAGAAACTTGTTTTCAGGAGAGTTCTCAACCAGGAATTTGAACCTAAGTGGATGCCAGCATTGCATTTCTAATTTTCTTAAGATTTTATTATCAGGTTACCTCTCACTGTAACTATAAAGGCTTTAAAATTAACTAACATTACAAATACAAAAGAAGCAAACAAATTCTGGGGCTCAATTTCTGAAGAATTCAATGGATAGGAAATACAATAGAGAACATCATCAACAGATCAAATTGAAGAAAAGAATCAGAAGACAGAGAAGAGAAACATTGAAATAACAATACTGAATAGAAAATTATTAATGAAAAAAAATGAAGAAATCCTATGTGATCTATGGGAGACCATATAACGGATATCAAAATCATTGTCATTCCAGAGGAGAAGAGACAGAGAAGGGGTCAGACAGTTTATTTTTTAAAAAATTAAAGCAGACTCTCTAAAAACAGGGAGAGATTTGGGCAATCAAGTCATGAAGGTAAAAGATTACCCATTATATTAATTAAAAATGATCTTCTCAAGACACTTTATAATAAAATTGTAAAAGTCAAACACAAAGAGAGAATCTTTTAAAGCAGAAGAGGGAAGAAGTTTTAAGCCTGCAAAGAAACCTCCACTAGATTAAAAGCAGATTTCTCAGCAGAAGCCTTAGAGACCTGGAAAGACTGAAATGATATTTGCAAATTATTGAAAGAAAGAAATTGCTGACACAAATACTCTATCAAGAAAAGCTATCATTCAGAATTAAAGCAGAAAAAAAGACATTCAGAGAAACCGTTAAGGAACTTCAATAGCACTAGGCCTACATTGAGGCTTCTCAGGTGGCTCAGTGGTAAAGAATCCGCCTGCCCAGGAGGAGATGCAAGTTCAATCCCTGGTTCAGGAAGATCCCCTGGAGAAGGAAATGGCAACCCACTCCAGTATTCTTGCCTGGGAAATCCCATGGACAGAGGAGCCTGGTGGGCTACAGTCCTCGGGGTTGCAAGAGTTGGACACAACTTAATGTCTAAACAACAGACCTACCTTACAAGGAGTGCTGAAATTTCTTTAAGCTAAAATAAAGAAATATTGACTAGTAATCTGAAAATACATAGAAACTACTGTTGTTTAATCACTAATATTGTCTGACTCTAAGTAACACCATGGACTGCAGCAGGCCAAGCTTCATCATCCTTCACTAACTCCCAGAATTTACTCAAACTCATGCTCATTGAGTTGGTAATGCCACCCAACCATCTCATCCTCTGTCACCCACTTTTCCCTCCTTCCCTCCATCTTTCCCAGCATCAAGATCTTTTCCAATGAGGCAGCTCTTCACATCATGTGGCCAAAGTATTGGAGTTTCAGCTTCAGCATTAGTCCTTCCAATGAATATTCAGGATTGATTTCCTTTAAGTTTTACTGGTTTGACCTCCTTGCAGTCCAAGGAAATCTCAAGAGTCTTCTCCAGCAAAATTCAAAAGCATCATTTCTTTGGTGCTTGGCCTTCTTTATGGTCCAACTCTCACATACATACATGACTGCTGGAAAAACCATAGCTTTGACTATATGGACCTCTGTGGGCAAAGTGATGTCTCCACTTTTTAATATGCTTTCTAGGTTTGTCATAGATTTTCTTCCAAGGAGCAAGCATCTTGTAATGTCATGGCAGCATTCACTGTCTGCAGTGATTTTAGAGCCCAAGAATATAAAATCTGCCACTGTTTCCTATACCACACACTGAATAAAGAAAATGTATAGTCAAATTCTGAAAATGTAATACTATAATAGATGGTGTGCTAACTACTTAACTACAGTATAAAAGTTAAAAAAGATGAGTATCAAAATAGCCCTAACAACTATAATTTATGAAAGAATATACAACTTAAGAAGAGGTATATTGTAACATTAAAGACATGTAGGGGATATAAAAGGGTAGAATGTATGTAACTGAATTAAGTTGCTATCAGTATCAGTATAAAGTACATTGTGTCACTATGTTTTAGGTAAGCCGCATGGTTACCTAAACCACAAGCCCAACCAACAGTAGATTCACAAAGGATAAAGGCAAGGAAATCAGAGCATAACACCATGCAAGATCACCAATTCACAAATGTAGGCAGCAAAAAGGATCAACCATCAATACAAAACCAACAGAAAACAGTCAAATAGGAATATTAAGTCTTTGCATTTCAATCATTGCTATAAGGGTAAATGAATTGAACTCTCCAATCAAAAGGCACAGAGCTGCTGGATGTATTTTAACAAAATAAGAGGAATTTCCTAGCTGTCATATAGTTAGGGCTCCTAGTTTTCCTTCCGAGGATGTGAGTTCAGTCCTTGGTCCAGGAACTAAGACCTCACAAGCCATGTGGCACAATAAAAAAAAAAAAGGTGGATTTCCACAAGGTTGATATATGTAACTATGTGTGGTGATGGATATTAATTCCAAGACTCGATCTCTATTTCTGTTCTAGTTTCATTGTCCTGACCCAGAGCCTCTTCATGGCCTTCTTCACTTCAGCATTTCTCAGGGAGTAGATGACAGGGTTGAGGAGTGGGGTGATCACCGTGTAGAACACAGCCACCATCTTGTCCACAGACAGGGTGGTAGAAGGTCTCAGATAGATGAAGATGCAGGGCACAAAGAACAAGGTGACCACAGTGATGTGGGACCCACAGGTGGACAGGGCCTTGCGCCGACCCTCAGAGCTTTGAATCCTCACATGGAGCAAGATGACCACATAGGAGGCTAAGAGGACGATGAAGCTGATCACAGACAGGGTCCCCCCATTGGCAACAATCAGAAGACCAATGAGGAAGGTGTCAGAGCAGGCAAGTTTCATGAGGGGAAGCACATCACAGAAATAGTGGTCAATTACATTGGGGCCACAGAAGGGCAAATGGAAGATGAGAAGGATTTGGGCCAAGGAATGCACTAATCCCCATATCCATGCTGCTCCCACCAGGAAGGCACACACCTGCCGGTTCATGATGGTGGTGTAGTTGAGGGGCTTACAGATGGCCACATAGCGGTCATAGGCCATCACAGTGAGCAGGAAAATCTCAGTTCCAGCAAAGAAGTGGAGAAAGGAAAGCTGTGTCATGCAGCCCCATAGAGATATGGCTTTCCTTTCAGCCAGCAGATCTGAGATGAGTTTGGGCGTTGTAGTTGAGGCATAGCAGATCTCCACAAAGGACAGGTAGCTCAGGAAGAAGTACATGGGAGAGCCAAGGCTTCTGCTGGTCATGACAGTGAGGACAATGAGGAAATTCCCCAGGACAATGGCTATATACAAGAGCAGAAATATCACAAAGCAAACCTTCTGCACCTCTGGATTGGAAGAAAGTCCCAATAAAATAAATTCTGTCACATTGTGTGTTTTAGCCATGACATAGCAACCAGAAGGCAGTAATTTGGGTATGTGATCCAAAATAACACAAAAGAATTCTTCCTTTAGCAGCTGAATTATATAATAGTCATTTGCATACCTGAAATGTTACCATTCAGACTCTGCAACCTAAAAGTGTTCTCAGAAATAGGAAGTCCATCTCTGCAATCCATAGGCCATTACAGTCAGTGACCCTCTTCTCCTAGGACATTTTGGCAATACAGCACTTTACACATTGAATTGTATTTGTTCTATGTGACCATCTGGCCCATGAAACTGAGCTTCCTAGAGAAGAGATTATTTATTGCTACCACTCTATCTCCAGTGCTAACTGAAGCACCTGCACAAAATTACACTCAGTCAATGTACATAAGATGAAGGAACAGTGCATACAGATCATCCTAGCCTACTTAGCACAGTATTTGGTACATCACAGAAGATCAGCAAATACTGAAAGAACAAAGGTCACCAAGGACCAAGACCACATCTTTCCATCCATGAATCCCATGTCTAGCACAATGCTTGTTTCAGGCAAAGACCAGGCCAATGTGAGAGCACTTTGTGAAACACCACAGGCTTTCTGGTAGCATTCACTTTACTTTCAAAGTGAAATTATAATCACATGCTCACAAAACAAAACTCACCCTACTGTTTCTGGGACTTTGCTGTCTCACTACTGTTCCTTTTATCTGTTCTGATCCCAGAGAGTACAATAGTGCTCTGAGCACATACAGTTTTCAAACTCCAAGCATTAAGGTCAAGTTATGTGCCAGAGCTCACACATTTTAGGTGCTGCCAGATGGAGGATCTGCTCTCCATGCAAACTTAGGAATGCTGAGACTAAGTCAGTGAGTCTATTCCACCAGATTAAAATCAAGAACACAGTGGACTTGCCTCTCAGATGTTCTACAGAGGAATAAGAATTCTGTCAGCTAAGCATTGTGTTCACTCTGCTGAGAGATACTAGAGGTGGAGGGTATATGTGATGATCAAATGAGAGAAGATTGGTCCCCAGAGAGCCATGTCTTTCCCCTTCCTAATCAGGCACCTACCTCATGGGAAGAAGGACCTGGATACCAACCTCTCAAACTTTATTGTATGTAACATAACTTCAGAAATCAATAGGGAATATATTAAATTAATTTTACCCAGTGTTCACAAAGCACTTAGGCTATGGGGCTCTATGCTGTTCTGAGGGCAATTAGATCCAGCTCTTGCTTATCATGAACTCAGTTATGGTTCTACATGAAATGACACCATCCCAAGGATCAGTTCAGTTCAATCTCTCAGTCATGTCTGACACTTTGCAACCCCATGGACTGCAGCACGCCAGGCTTCCTTCTCCATCACTAACTGTCGGAGCTTACTCAAATTCATGTCCATCGTGTCAGTGATGCCATCCATCAATCTCATCCTATGTTGTCCCCTTCTCCTCCTGCCTTCAATCTTTCCCAGCATCAGGGTCTTTTCCAGTGAGTTGGTTCTTCGTATCAGGTAGCCAAAGTATTGGAGTTTCAGCTTCAGTGTCAGTCCTTCCAATGAATATTCAGGACTGATTTCCCTGAGGATTGACTGGTTGGATCTTCTTGCTGTCCAAGAGACTCTCAAGAGTCTTCTCCAACACCTAAGTTCAAAAGCATCAATTCTTTGGTGCTCAGCCTTCTTTATTGTCCAACTCTCATATCCATACATATGGAAAAAACCATAGCTTTGACTAGACAGAACTTTGTTGGTAAAGTAATGTCTCTGCTGTCTAGGTTGGCCATAACTTTTCTTCCAAGGAACAAGCATCTTTTAAATTCATGTCTGCAGTCACCATCTGTAGTGATTTTGGAGCCCCCCAAAATAAAACCTGTAACTGTTTCCATTGTTTTCCCATCTATTTTGCATGAAGAGCTGCAACTAGATGCAATGATAGTTTTATGAATGTTGAGTTTTAAGCCAACATTTTCACTCTCCTCTTTCAGTTTATCAAGAGGCTCTTTAGTTCTTCTTTGCTTCTGACATAAGGGTGGCATCATCTGCATACCTGAGGTTATTAATATTTCTCCCAACAATCTTGATTCCAGCTTGTGCTACATTCAGCCCAGTGTTTCTCATAATGCACTCTGCATATAAGTTAAATAAGCAAGGTGACAATAGACAGAAAATAATGTACTCATTTTCCAATTTGAAATGAGTCTGTTGTTCCATGTCCAGTTCTAACTGTTGCTTCTTGACCTGCATACAGATTTCTCAGGAAGAAAGTCAGGTGGTCTGGTATTTCCATCTCTTTCAGAATTTACCACAGTTTGCTGTGATCCACACAGTCAAACAGTGGGCTCAAGGAATTATGGGCCACAAACATCAGAAACTGAGACAGCACTTCTCATGGCCTTTGGTGTGGATGAAGGTGAGGCTACAGAACAGTTGTTCTCAACCATGGGAGATTTGCCCCCAAGAGGTTATTTGGCAACATCTGGAGACATTGTTTTCATTTCCTACCTTTGTAGGAAGGAGGTGTTCCTGGCATTTAATAGGTAGAGGCCAGAGATGCTAAGAAACATCCTACAATGCAGAAGACATCCCCCTACCACAACAACAACGGCTATCTGAGCCAAAATCACAATACGACTGCTATTGAGACACTCTTCTCAGAAGGAAACAAATTTTTTCCAAATTAATATTTATCAGCATTAAACTGGATGTTGGTTTCAAAACACCACATGTGAGTTTATTACTCTGCTTGACCTCATCTCTATTAATTTTCTGCCATGAATAGTTTTCCAATGGCATAATAACACATTGTAAGATCAATGTGCTCTCTCCCAGTCCTAAACATAATTGTCATTAATTTAGCCTGATTAAAATTAAAGTTGAAACAAAAATGCCAAGTTTCAACTAGTGATTAGAAGACTATTATGATCATATATTTTAAATTATTTTACAGGTTTTAACATAAGATGTCATGTAAAAAACCCAAACAAACTTTTTGGCCAACCTAATAATTGCTTTTGAGAGTGTCAAAGTCTGAGTTAGCCATTAACATTTTTATCATTATCCATTATATTTTTAAAAATACTAGGAAGAAGATTAGCAAATAATTAAATAAAAGCTCCAAATATTTAAGAAAATCTACATTCATTCTGTACATCTCATCACTGAGTTTCTGTGGAAGGCTGTAAGACAAAATATTTTCTCTGTTGAAGGATTCAATTTAATACATCTAAGGAAGATGAATTTTTAAAGTTAGTCTATGAATGTGCATTACAGGAAAATCCATTTGTTAAAGTATTTGTGGATGAGACTATTTGCTTACTGAAAGTTATAAATTTTCAGAAAAGGTTGATGCTATTTTCTTTTCTTTCTTTGTTTCTTTTTTTTTTACTTTACAATATTATATTGGCTTTGCCATACATTGACATGAATCTGCCATGGATGTATATGTATTCCCCATCCTGAATACCCCTCCCACGTCCCTCCCCATCCCATCCCTCTGGGTCATCCCAGTGCACCAGCCCCAAGAACCCTGTATCATGCATCAAACCTGGACTGGTGATTCATTTCACATATGATAATATACATGTTTCAATGCCATTCTCCCAAATCATCCCACCCTTGTTCTCTCCCACAGAGTCCAAAAGACTGTTCTATACACCTGTGTCTCTTTTGATGTCTCACATACAGGGTTATCATTACCATCTTTCTAAATTCCATATATATGTGTTAGTATACTATATTGTTGTTTTCCTTTCTGGCTTACTTCACTCTTATAATAGGCTCCAGTTTCATCCACCTCTTGAGAACTGATTCGAATGTATTCTTTTTAATGGCTGAGTAATATTCCATTGTGTATATGTACCACTGCATTCTTATTCATTCATCTGCTGATGGACATCTAGGTTGCTTCCATGTCCTGGCTATTATAAACAGAGCACTGTGATTAACATTGGGGTACATGTGTCTCTTTCAATTCTGGTTTCCTCAGTGCATATGCCCAGCAGTGAGATTGCTGGGTCATATGCCACTTCTATTTCTAGTTTTTTAAGGAATCTACACACTGTTCTCCATAGTGGCTGTGCTAGTTTGCATTCTCACCAAGAGTGTAAGAGGGTTCCCTTTTCTCCACAACCTCTCCAGCATTTGTTACTTGTAGAGTTTTGGATAGCAGCCATTCTGAGTGGTGTGAAATGGCACCTCATTGTGGTTTTGATTTGCATTTCTCTGATAATGAGTGATGTTGAGCATCTTTTCATGTGTTTGTTAGCCATCTGTATGTCTTCTTTGGAGAAAAGTCTGTTTAGTCCTTTTAGTACTTTTCTAGAAATTTTCCCATTTCTTCCAAGTTGTCCATTTTATTGGCATGTTGTTTCTGATAGTAGTCTCTTAAGATCCTTTGTATTTCTGTGTTGTCTGTTGTGATCTCTCCATTTTCATTTCTAATTTTGTTGATTTGTTTCTCTTCCCTTTGTTTCTTGATGAGTCTGGCTAATAGTTTGTCAATTTTATTTATCTTCTCAAAGAACCAGCTTTTGGCTTTCTTGATTTTGCTTTTGTTTCTTTTGCATTTATTTCTGCCCTAATTTTTAAGATTTCTTTTCTTCTACTAACCCTGGGGTTCTTCTTTTCTTGCTTTGCTTGTTGATTTAGATGTAGAGTTAGGTTATTTATTTGACTTTTTTCCTATTTCTTGAAGTAAGCCTGTATTGCCATGAACCTTCCCCTTAGCACTTCTTTTACAGTGTCACATAGGTTTGCGGTTGTTGTGTTTTCATTTTCATTCATTTCTACTTATATTTTTATTTCTTCTGTGATTTGTTGGTTATTCAGCAGTGTGTTGTTCAGCCTCCATATGTTGGAATTTTTAACAGTTTTTCTCCTGTAATTGACATCTAATCTTACTGCATTGTGGTCAGAAAATATGCTTGGAATGATTTCAATGTTTTTTAATTTATCAAGGCTAGATTTATGGCCCAGGATGTGATCTATCCTGGAGAAGGTTCCATGTGCACTTGAAAAAA